TTAGAACATTTTCAGAGACAGCCTTTTTCACATATGAAAGTTCAGAAGGCCGTGGAACAGATTTTGTTGAGATTTAGAGGACAATCTCTGTTATACACAGATTCGTGCTGTGGTCCGACACGAGCCGCAGTAGTGAGGGAATCCCGGCAGAAATACAACCAGAATGTTTCAAATGCATCTGGAATGTAGGAAGGCATTGCTGCTTGGAAACGTGAATTAGCTCCCGAAATTTCTCCAACTTCATAGACTTTTCCCGAATTTCTCTCCCTCCCAACAACGAACGAATACAACCTCCCCCTTTGCAACGTTCCAACAAGAACAATCAACCATCAAAAAAATTCTCGGCCCAAATACGCGTATTTATCCTTGGCGTAGATTTCAGCGAGAATTTCTCGGAGACGCCTCACCAGCGGTCCCCTTCACATTTGAGAGTTCAGAAGCCTGTGGGATGAATGAGAATTAAGTAAAGAGGTATTCACAAATGACCGTGAAAACACCGATGTTGTGAGCTAGCGTCCTAGGATAAAGAGAAATGAAAGGCAATTTTTATATGCTTGTTTTTCGCGCGCAATCGACATTCTCATTGGAGCACAAATCGCGTTTCGAGCAGGAAACACACTGGCTTATCAAGGGCGCTCCACAGACATTTTACCTCAGAGTTGAAAGTTAATGATAATTCTGGTGGATGATTCTTCAGCAAAAGAGTAGCTCCATAATGCAGCGAGCATAGTCCACCAACTCTGGAGAGCAACGAGGATCTAACACTCTAACATCAGCTCCAATAAAGGAGACTCACGTGGCGCTTCTTTAAAACCGTTTCTGCAAGGATTGCACTGAGCATAGAAAAAAGATCTATTTTTGCTGGACGGTTCCAGCATTACTAATGACGAAGAAACAAATGGTTGATGATTTGATTTCGCTCACTGGCAGAATGTCGCCTTTCAAAAATTTCTATGAGGTTCCATTTTTTTCTTGTTGTTATGTGTTGTTATGTTAGAAGCTTTTGTTCGGACCGTGCCGTGCCAGCCATCATCTAACGAACTCCATCCTGACAATGCCAGCGAACCTCTACCTTACTATTCATCGCACATTCAGAACAGTGAGGGATCCCTTTTTTTCAGGATCGCTGGAACCGCTCAGTGAAGCTGAACCTCTCTCTGTTCCATGTGCGAACTCCCACATCATGTAAGAAACTGTTTTAAACAACATCACCAGAAGGACTTCCCCAATAGGTGAGCGAGGTCTGTAAAGATCGATTTACTTAGGTAGTGTTCAGACTTCCGACGGCAGCGCTTCGGTCGCGCGATTCGGCGATCGATGCGCATGATTTAGACGGCATCGATCGTGTCGAATGCGCGACTGCAGCGCACTATGGATCTTCAAAGTTTCGATCCGGCTGCTTCCTTAGTTCGATAACTTTTTTCCTCATGGCCTTCAGAACTGAATGAATTGAGGTGCACTCATACCCATGTGATGGGAGGCGTGGCTACGTGCTGCATTCAAACGTGGCAACGGATCAAATGCAGCACACAGCCATGGCCCTTAGAATCGGAATTGTCATTGGAGGGGGGGGGGAGCATCCGTGAAACAAGAAAAATCAACTATCGAAAAAATTACCCAAAACGACTCCGCCCCTAGCAATATGACCCCCTGCTGGGGATTCCTCACAGTAGGCCAGACCACCTGGGTCGGCGTGGTGATGGCAAGCGGCGCCAATGAGCACTAAGCTCATTCCAGAGGTTGAAATTAGAGTTTCCTTTTTCCTTCCTCTCTTTTCTTTTCTATCTTTCACTCCGATTTCCCAAAATTCATGCCCTTATTTGATAGTGCTTCGCCGCCCAATAGGGCTTTTTCTCGGAAAAATCGTCTTGTTAAATATTCACCATTTTATCGGTCAAAGGTCAGGAGATCCAGGTTGGGGTGCAGAAACTGGCTCGCGCGCGCACGACTCGTTTCCTGACTAGTTGACCCAGCTCACTAATGCACTTCCTTGTATTTAAAGGCACGGTCCGCGATCAGGTATCGAAGTTGAAAATATGGCATCAGGAGGGAGACAATAACGATTATTCAGTAGGGCGCAAGTGGCTCACAAAAGAATTTAGGCGTGAGGTTCAGTGCATTGCAGTAGTCGACCACGGACTCGCACCATATTCGACGCGCGTTACCTGAAGGAGCGGTCGTAGCCGATTTGCCGACATATGCCTTGCGCTGCTGTAACAGAAGCGTGAACTATTTCAGGTATAATGCACTGCAGGAAGTCGAACTAAACTATTCTTTTTCGTCAAAAAATTGTTATTGAGCTGAGAGGAAGAATGACAGTTTTCGTTCTGCTCCGAAACTAAGTTTCCATTTTTTTCCTATGCTATAGTCTAATCCTATTCCACTGGTAATCAGAGCACCAATCGTCCTGGTAACCAGAAGTTCGAATGCGTGAAGTTGAAATCAGGCTCAACTATTGTTGCTGGAAACGCGAAAACCATTAAATGGCACTATTCAACTATTACTACCCCAAAAAGTCCATAGAGATAGTTCGGTGTCCCAATCACGAATATAGCACTCGTTTTGGGCGCTGGCGTTGAATTGGCGCCAGTTTGGCGCCGCCACCTTTCCCAGCAAATTGTAAATTTGCATGGTATGGTTATTTGATGTCCTGATCACGATTACCGAATTAGTTTTCCTCCCTGACGCCATTGGCGCTGACTTGGAGCCACACCCTTTTTCATCAAAATTGATAAAAACGTGCACAATGGGGTTGTTTGATGCCCTGATCACGAATATGACATTCACTCCAGCACCATTTAACACTTTTCTAAGGCTGCCTGTGAGAAAGAGTGTTTTCCTTTAGGTCAGGCCAGCAATACCAGAGCGCAGATAATCACAGCGTCTTCCATCAGCGCCAGCGCCAAAAATGAATGTGATATATGCAATCAAGATGTTAAATGGTCTTCGTATACAAGTTTTCAGCGGATTTAGTAACCTAGGTTACTTCAGCGCCAGCGCCAAAATACCCTAGGTCAGGCCAAGTGGGTGCGATGTTCAAGTTCAGGTGGTCGAATTACCTCTAAAACCCAGCTTTCATCCAAATCTGCGTAGAGAATAACTCGATTAGGATCCGGCCTGTTCTTGGAAAACTGGGCTTTTTCCAGATAGAGCGCGTCAAATATGGTGTGAGTCCGCAGCCGACTATCGCAATGCATTCAACCTCACGCCTAAATTCTTTTGTGAGCCACTTGCGCCCTACTGAAAAATCGTTATTGTGAGGTTAGAGTGGTCCGCGACGAACAACCTTGTACCGGTTTCGCGGCAAAAAATTCTATGGGAGGGGCGCTGTAGCGCAATATAGGTTCAGTGGCTCCTCCTTTTTTCCAGTGACTCCGCCTCCAGACTCCGCCCCTAATGACCGACTTCCAGTGAAAAATGAGATTGCAGGACGAAAAAGCATGATAATCGCCACTTGTACGATCGTAGAAATCTTATCGGGCGTGCATATGAGGGCGTAGTTTTGGAGATAGAGTTGATTGGGCACGTACAAACTGGGATCGAAATGGGGTTCTATCTAGGGCAGGTGGCATGTTTTTTGTGCTTTTTTTGTTCACAGTCGAGTTACTCAACCCCTTGTCGTCTATATGGAACCCCCTAATCCACCATCTGAGATGGCGAGTAATCGCGGGTTCTTCCTTTAAATCAGTCAGGCTAAGTTCATTCTTAGCGGCAGCGTCCACCACGGACCGATAGCATCCACCAGGAATGAGTGCATCTCAATAACGGCCGATTTCTTGCCCTATATTCCACTGTGTGAGCTCTAACAGTGAGAACATGATGCACTGCACGTGCATACTATCATCCTGTAGCAGTGCTCGGTCGGTCTCACTTGCTCCATTGTGTCGAAATCGAGCAGATCGTTGTGCTGGTGGGAGTGGAAAGGTAACCTGAAGTTTTGAGTTTCCTTTCGTTGGTAGCTTCTTGGTCTGGGTTGCAACTAGTCAAGAACGGGTTCAGGTTGAACAGGATCGATAGCTTTCCTGAGTTTCGATATGCTTTCAGGCCTTTGATAACGACGATACTGTCGAAACGTCAGGCAAAATAAACACTTCCACCATAAAAACCTGTACGGCATAGTAAAGAAACATTGCATCCACCAGCGTTCCGAGCGCCCGGCAGCGTCAGCAACTAAAAAGGTGTACATACCGATCTAGCATCTGTCAGCGTCCACCAGCGACCGACAGCGTCTCGGGGCTAGGAGTGAGTATATGTATCGAATTTGATGTCTGCCAGCGTCTACCAGCGTCCATCAGCAACCAGCAACAGAGTGCCGGTAGAGAGCATGGGGCGATAGGAGGGTGGTTTGCTACGGGTGCTGGTCGCTGGTGGACACTTCTTAGTTGCTGACACTGACGTACGCTCGGAACGCTAGTGGACGCTATTGGTCGCTGCCGCGAGACGCCATCTGGAACGTCGCGCAGCCCCCTCAGCAACGCGTATCTCCTACCCTAAACTAGTTTTTTTATCTTTTTTTTAAAGGATGAGTTATCTATGGCAGCAGCAGCATCTGTCAGTGAACTGACTTCCGATTTTCGTACTTCGACCAACAATGACGTCACCGTTTGCCATCTCTAAATGCTTTCATTTCGTCTCGAGAAAAAAATATCCGCATTTTTTTTACTTATTTAAAAAGATTTATTCTAGCATCAAAAAGCATAAATAATCTACAAACAATACAAAAATTACACAAAAAATTTGGCAAAAAATGGCAAGAGATCGACAGCTAGAGCAACCCGTTCCAAAGTAGTCATATTTGCACAGCAAAGAGACAATTACCCGTGAAAACGATAGCAAGCGATTAACATTTGGCTTGTAGAAGACAAAGAACACAACGGTGAAGCAAAAAAGAAAGCGATAGAATGGGTGCAATGGTGCGAAAGTTGGTGAAAAGGGAAGAAAAAAGGAGATAAAGTGTGCTAGACGGCCCATGATGGATACAGGGCCGAATATAATGGAGGTCAGACTAGAACCTGCTTTTGTAGAAAAGCTTTTTGTAGACCACCTCGGCCATCTTTACCCATGAGAATCGATTTGAATGCACGACGAAATTCGGTGTTGAAAATTGTGTAAATAATCGGATTCATGAACGAATTCATATAGCCGATCCATGTACAGTAGAAGAACAAATCGAATCCAACCTGAAAAAGAAGCACCCTTCAGGAAAGTATCAGAACTGTTTATAAGCCCCTGCGCTTGACGAAATGCCCGAGAATTCGAAGCAGGGTAGAACATCTGATAGGGGACCTTTCCTAATTTCTCCCATTTCACGTGAACTATATGTTCTTCCCTTGGTTTGGCGCCGCAACAGAAGCCCCAGGGGGGGGGTCGTTACTTGACCTCAGTACACAACTTACCTTCCAAAAGTTTCCTCCCTTATGCGCTTTACAGTTTTTCCAGGGGAAAAGTGGATGGAAGAAAGGGGCTTAGTCGGGATGGTAGGGGCAGCGTTAGGGTACCGCACCATTGGGAAATCGGATGGGGCGTAGTGGAGCATCGCCATGTTCACACAATATGGTGCCTTCACAGTGCAGTTTGGAAAATCCAAATCCGTGGCATGCCGCTCAATCAAATTATGCATTCTTTGACTCGTACACAGACCATCAACGGCGCGGGTCGTAAGTGGGTCATGGCAGGACTACATAGGAGCAGGCCCTGCTCAATACCAACGATGACTGGTCGTTAGACCACCCTGAGCCATTTGATTCAAAGTCGAAGTGCCTGCTGTTTAATCACCACACCAATGTTCTTAGGGTTTGACATTCGAGCCGCATCTTGCATGCATCTGAAACTGCGCCACTTTTACAACGAGCGCTTATGTTCATAGTTCGCGACAGCTCCGATCGTGCCCCCAATTTAAGCGGATTCAGCGATATAAAACGTTGACGACGATGTCAGGATTAATGGTAGTGTGACAGTATATTGCTCTGATAACCAAAGATTGTGCAAACAACCAATGTCGTTGGGAATCTCCGCCTTAGGGCAGCTTTGAACGGGAGACGGGAGACGGTAAAGAAGGAAAACGTAATTCGCCGCACCCGGCAGGAAGCGGCGAATGAGCGCGGCGTATTTCAATGACTATGTTTTAACTGTAGAATGAACAACCCCAAGGACTGTTCATGTAGACCCCGTCAGTCGTAGACTCGATATGATTTTCGGCCTTGATGTTATGCATCACTGCCTAAACCATCGTCCTTATGCTGACGGACGTGCAGGCGACGCCCAGCAGCGAGCGGAAAATTACGTCCTCTTGTCACATACCCATTGTACGACTGTAGAATTATCTAAATACATGTGCTTCATTGGAAAACTTTTAACGCAGAAGATTAGAGAAGATGATATTGTGCGTCAATTTGACGATAACGGATATGGAAAAGAATTCATTGTTTCAAATATAGTGAAATGTATATATAAGAAAAAGTTTATAAGCTATAAATATGCTATTAATGAGGACTTTAAAAGTGTTACTAAACTAGTTCATAGGCTTCTAAATACACACAATACGGTACATTAGATACAAATATAGGTTTTAAGAAATTCTAATATGCGGGTTACCTCATACGGATCACCTATACAGTATTCTGTTCCTGTGCTCTACTTTACTTTCAATCTGTGTTCACTGAGTATTATATTCTTTCTCCTATGCCTACACCACAACATAATTGTCCTATTTTCTACTCTCTCCGCTTTTGCTTTGTTAAACCTTGCCTAGCTTGAAGTTTTTCTTAAGGGCCCTTGTTGTTATAGGTAACGCTTAATATATTCCTTTATCGTTAGCTCCAACTCACTGAAGAGCCTCAGGAGCTAACGTACACAAAGTGGTTCGTCTGAGGGAAGAGGCGAAACGGACCACCCGTACTTGTTCCGCTTACGTTGAATCTTGTACTGTATTGTGGTCCTACTCCTTGTCACTGGTAATGAAGATACCTTCTATATTAACAATAGTTCTTTTACTTTTCAATTGACGCTCTGAATTGTTGAACATCACAGTTGCTTGGCGCGAACTACGTGGCACCCGCGCCACAAGCGCGGCGGCCAAAATTACAATAAGTCACCATATTAGCTGAAAAGTGGGTGTCTCCTGATTGTGGTTTGACTCCCCTCGCTGAATATAGCGCTTCGCTGCTGGTAAGAAACTGTCTGGCGTTCGCGCTATAGGCACCGGCGAAAAAACACTGTAGACAAATTCGCTGAAAGCTTGCCTCCCGAGGTAATCCGACTCCTTGAATATGATTAACACACCTGCTTAAACGCCGAACTGGCATAGCATGCGGGCTTACAAGGTGAATCGACATTGCAGCCATCGAACCCGCTACATGATTATGCGCGACAAACGATCTGGAGTCAGCGCTTGATCGGCGCGGAGGCGACTGGTTCTCGTGCCAAGCGAAATGCGGAATTTCTGTCTTGAAATTTTAAATGTTTGGGAGGTTCAACTATCCAGGAGCGAATTGTCTAGTGGTCTCCTGAATTTTTTTTAAGAGAAAAATTTTGGCAACAAGTGGCCTGATATTGGAAGACTGGGGCAGTAAGGATCGTTAAGTGTGTCAGAATATTCGAGATTGATATCTCGCTATCAGTGCACATTCTTCAAAGCATCCTTGACCAGAATCACTATATTTTTTGAAATTACCTTTTGCGGAGAAAATGTGCCGTCCTCAATGCGCAATCATGAAGAAAAATGGTATTCGATCGATCAACGATGTTTATAGTGGGACGGCCTTTTATCATAAAGTTTGTAACGACTACAGAGGGGGGCGTCTGTCTCGCGACATTCCTCTGACCGCTGATTGTTGTTCTAAACTAAACCGCCGCCCACTTACTGGTAGAAAATGCCAATCCGCGGAGCAGTAGCTCCTGCTCAGCATCAATTGTTTTTCAAGTGCGCGGCGACCAGCGGTTGCTGCAATTCTGATGCGACCCGCACGCGGCTGCATGTGTTGAGCTTCGGTGGGAATTTCCCAATTTGGAAATTAATTAGGTTGCAAACTAATTCACGGGTTCGACTGCCACAACTTAAAAACCCAACCCTGGCAGAATCTTTTTTTCAAGGACACACTATCGCTATTGACGATGTGATGAAAGAAGAACGGGAACCCAACAAATCAGAAATACGCCAAGTCAACGCGCAAGGGTTTGGTAGCATACACGTTTCTCCTTCGTTGTGATTTTTTTGCGACACGCAAGTTAATCTCTCTAAGGTGCTCCGTAACTGCCCAAGCAGGTTTCAGGAAGACTAGAAGTTTTCCAGTCCTTTCTTACTTATTCCGTTCAGCCCTCCTCCCACTCAGCCTACAATTTAACTCTATTTATTTACCTTTCGTTTCAGACTCTGCTCGTGCTTGATTTGCGTTCTCTTGGCAATTTTGCTGGCAATACCGTTTCTGACGCTTTTCAACGATGGAGCTTGCGAGTCAACCGATTTTACCGAACAGGCGCGTCTTTTCTCATCCGACTCCTTTTCCTGAGTCTCTGAAAAAATGGAAGCAGTTTCAAGACACATCAAGGGATCCTGCTAGCTTGTCTCGCATCGTATGCTAATCTAGTGAGTTTATTTATTTATTTGTGGACGCTGTTTCTCTGCGCTTAGTAATTGCGTAACAGGAACGCAAAAAAACACAACAAACGTGAGGGCATATCAATTGACAGTCAAAATCCCTAGATTTGCGAGAGCTTAGGAGGGTTCTTGTAAACTAGCCTGGTGGCCCTTACCGGTAGATTTTATATAACCTTTCACGGTAGCAGTCGGCGCTTGAAAGGGATGGGGGGGGGGGGCGGGAATCGCGCGGAAAAGCTGTTTATCGTGATCCACTGAAGAACCCTACAAAGCTACAAAATGTCGTATGCTTTTGTTTCCAGACGCCTCTTTCTGGCATTAGATTGTTGTCGCCAGCCCTCCCAGAGCCCCTTCATCAGAGCTTTGGCAAACATGTTGGACTCCCGGATTACAGTCAGCTACAGTATCTTGGCACCTTCCAGCCGAAGGCTGTGACGTAACATAGCTACTTCCTGTCCGAGGGATATCAGACAGAACCGTGGAATTTTCTCCGTGAGTGGTTACGGTAAGGAAAACGTTTCTGGAAGAGCGTTGTCAAATGGATAGAGAACCTCAAAGTACCGAGGAAAAAAGGACCTCTCAGAGGGGCCCTCTTATTGGTGCGGAGGATGGGCAGTGTCATATGGTCTGGGCTGGGCGCGGCGCCAGCCTGTTTCCCACCAATTGCCCGCTCCGACAGTCGGTGGAGAACGGGTTGGCACCGCGCCAAGCCCACCCCTCTGCACGTCCCAGTATCCACAGCAAACAAGACTGTATTTGCTGCGCGCTGCGGCAATATGGATTTCTTGGCCCACATCTCAATTCAGAATTTCCGCACATGTCACATGGAGTAGAATTAGGTTAGCTGTACTAGGGGCCCATCCATGTATTTACGACGCAAAATAAGAGGAGAAATTAATAATTAGAAAATATGGGGCATCTCTCACCTGGTAATTGCGATTTCGTCATGATGCAGACAGAAAGCGGTTTGCTCTCTTCTTCTGACACGGCAGGTTCATCCTCTTCGCCCTTCAGTTGAGCGTCGGCTACTGCCGTTTCTGACATTTCGCGGACCATCATATGAAACTTCACTTTTTGCTGAAATTTCCAAGATTGGAATAGAATTCATGGCTATTCATAATATAGTTGGCTCAATCGCCCATGCACACCTGGACGGTTGATGCAAAATAGGGGATTTCCCGGGCAAACGAGATCTGCCTGCACAGGGAATTGGGAGCTAATATCTTCGTTATATGAACCTACTCATCGTGTTTTCACTCGCTTTATAAGCCCTGAAGCTCCGCCAGCCTTTGGGAGTTGAGCGGAAGTACAGTCGTTTTGTTGTGTCCAAGGAGGGGTATCGTAGGAGAGGGGAGGGGGAGAGGCTGGGTTCAGCGCCACACCAGCCCGTTCTCCATCGATTGCTGAAACGTCCAAGCGACAGCAACTGATGGAAAACGGGCTGGCACTGGGCTACAACTAGCCCTCTGACACTCCTTAAAGGTAGTTGATTTGGTGCTCGGTCTAAAATGCTAGTAGGGCGCTATATAGTGGGGAAATGGCGAAAGAACGGAGTGAAACGGTCAAAATCCTGCGAAGAAAGAGCCTCCGTTCTCAATGTGTTCAAAATCAATTTTGGACGAGTTTCCCGTAGGCATCTTGCCAACCGCTACCGAAGGTACGGCTGCATATGTGTACTCATATATCCATGCAGCATCACGGCCGCTTCATACCAATCCCTTCGCTTCATAATTTGCTTAGCAAATGAATCGATTAGAGCGTCAGGAACGGTCGTCCATTTGTGGGCGGGCGGGCGGGCGGGCGTTTGGGTCGGAATGTTGTGGCTTGATAGGGCCCTTATAAGGGCACCTTCCTTGGAAAAGGCATTATGCAGCGCCTGCGTATTAATCGTACTCGTCTTGGGGGATTTATCGTGCCATCTGCCTTTGACGTCCGCAGCAAATCTAACTATACCTCCATTGCTATAACTAGTTGTGTTGGAGCGCTTTTATATATCTCTTCAGGTTATTGTTACCTGAATCCGTAACAAACCCCTAGAAGATTTCCAGCTTCCCTGGAAGAAATGAGGTGATCAGTATTCTTCATTCAAAAAATCCAAATTTGTTTTTTGCTTAGATTTCCGGTTCAAAAAGGAAGCTAAAGAAACCAGCATGGTAGCGAGCAGCAAAGGCTTTGGGCGGACGCAGGGTAGGAGCGATGAGGTACTGTAGGAACATATGTAGTTAAAATATGAAAATGAGTAGTCTCAATCACTGCGGATGATGGGGCGCGTCTAAAGGGATGGGCTTAGCGTGACGCCAAACCCGTGTTTCACCACCTGTTGAAGCCATAGCCAGCCAGCGATAAGACTGAATCATATCGTTCGTGTTAGTCGTTTCCCACCATTTATTGTCGCCTATCCGCTTAAACAACCGGTGGAGAACGAGCTGGCAGTGCGCCAAGCCTAGCCCTTTTGACACGCCCCATCATCCGCAGCGAACAAGACTGCAGTTATAATCCTAGTGCACTAACCTGTGAATCGGTCGGCGTGTCAACAGCAGGAGCCGTTTCGGCCGTGGCATCGAACTCTTCAGGAATTTCCGCAAAATCAGCACCTGCACAGTATTACAGTTGCTTTCAAGTGATGAAAATTGTGAACTGCTCTTACTATTGACGGTAGTGCTCCGACTGCACGGTGGACGATCGGTATTGAATGGTGTAACGTGTTCACCTTCTTCTTCTGCTTCTTGTGGTGGGCAGTAGACTAACGGATTCGCAAGAATCATCTGAAGCAGTTCAACAACTAAAGTATGAATCCTATAGATATTACCAAAGGTTATACAGTTTTCAAAAAAAGTACGGTGGTTGAGCCACGCAGTTAGCGCCTGTGAATACGACACAGATGATAACCAGGGGTGGGCAATGGATCCGAGCTGTTGGGGGGGGGGGCGGAATGTGGTGTTGAGTGTGGAACAGTGCGCACATAAAGCCCCTAGATACATCATGAAATTTTGCCCTGGCTACTGCGAATAGCTGGAACTAGGATATCCTAGTCCGAAGAGCATGAGCCATGTGGTGATCCCCGAAAAGTACACCCTTTGAATATGGGAGAAAGAGGGTTCTGCTGACAGCAAAGGAATTTGTATAGCGGTTCTTCATTGCCCGTCTTTAGCCTATACAATGGGTCGAAGGGGCCAGCCAATGTAGAATTCAGTGTTTTTATTCTCCTAGAGGAATCTAGTACCACTTTGTAGAAGACTTGGTTGATTTGAGCTGGAGCCGGTCCGGGATCCGACCCCGGGCAGTGCGCGTGGTAGACGGGTCACTGTACCTCCCTCCCGCAACAACTACGATTCGAGCCGTTTTACCGCTCGAAGTTCTAAAAATATAAAAATTTTTGCCCGGAAACTAGAATCTAACCGTTTCAGTTTCAGGTGTCCGATCGTGCGGAGACTTCCGAAAAATTCTTGGACTTCGCCGTGAGATCTGTCGTAAAATCGTTGGCAAAATCGCTTCGCTACTTCGACGATACCTGAAATCGTACGATGATACCACACGGAAATGAGAGAGATCTAAAGTTGTTAGTAAGCAAAGGGAATTTCCCAAGAAGTCTATAGGAAAATACTGCGAGGAGTATGACGTGACAGGATGGGAAGATGACAGCATGCATGGTTGAATAATCTGTGGAGACGAAGGAAAACGGGTTGATTAAGCATCTTTCTATAGGCCACAATTCATGAACATTGAGCGCGCGGTCGTGCAGCGCACCAGCCAGCGATGTAAAATGTTCATATTGATCGCAGTCGGGCATCACCCTGTATCTGGAGCAGGCTGGGCAACGTCAAGAAGCCTGGCTGCTGCGCGACCGCACGCTCCCTACTCATGAATTGCGGCTGCGCAAACAGTGTACAAATATGATTCGAATACATGTTCAGGCAAAGGGAGCTAGTACAGTCTTGTTTGCCGCGAAAGGTGGGTGTGTTTGGGTTTGGCACGGTGCCAACCGTTGCTCCTCCCATTGTGGAAGCTGGCAGGCGATCACAAAAAGTGGCTGGCAACTTGCCAAACCCAGCTCTATTGGAACGCCCTAACGCTCGCAGCGAACAAGACTGTAGGTCTCGCTACGAAAACTCCTCAACCACATCAAAACCACTCACTTTGGTGAACTATCTGGCGCAAGATGTGCATGTTTCGTTTTTTCTCGAAAAGTGTGCGTCCTATAATACTCTCACAAATCCTAACAGTGTTATGGTGCATCAAACCTACCTACGAGGCCCAAGAAATTCATCGCTACTGAAGGCAC